CAAAATATATTGAGATTAATTTCAACACAGTGCGCAGATGGAGAAAAGAAATTAAAATGTTACCTCCAAAATTCATGTTTGGACATTTTTTTTACCGTTTTTTATTGCATTTACATTAAAAGTGTCTGCGTGTCTCTTCCATGGTGTGGTGGCAGAAAAGGAGGAGATAAAAGTGATGCAATAGACGCTTTTTTCAGCATCTCGCACATAAGACACAAAACCATAAAGCACCCAGACGAATGGCACGCGTTTTACCCATGAAGGAGAGACAAAATCTTCCGAAAAATTGGGACGAGTTTTTTTTCTTTACTTCTTCAACTTCACCACATATTTCTTATCTCATAATGTCGCGCTTTAACCCGCGATCGTGCTTCCCATTTCATCTGGCTCACCGTGAGCGGACAAGAGCGAAAAAAAAACAGACAAATCTAGATAGTGCGCGACTTTTAATCTCCGACATTTCGGACGGAAAGACATAAAAGCGGATGATTTTGACCAAAAAGTCTTTGCGGCTGTGCAAGAACACACGAAATGCGGTTTTGGCTCAGCGCAAGAGACGCACAAAGTGTCCATCGAAGATGTCTTGTGCTGGCAGCAACTGTTTCCGAGAGATTTCCTAATGGTTGGAGCATTTCTAGAAATCACGCCACACATAATCTCAGCACGTACATCTCTAATCTCGAGCGATATTGCGAGCAACTCTTGAACTTCACTGTCTATGCCGAAGCTACTGCTTAAAGACTTCTGTCGTCGGCTATTTGGCACTTGTGAGACACAGAAATGGAGGTCAAATCAGCACAAGAAGCTTCAAAAGCGCCTAGATTATTTCATATTAAAATCAAGTCTAATATTTTTCAATGCCATGCAACTAATTTTAAAGTTTCAGAGAAACATCTTGAGTAAATAACGAAGTTAATAAAGTCTCAGAATGTGAATTCTGAACTGAGAACTTGATGAAAATAAGTACGAGCGTTTTCAGGTTGAAGTTATCGACACTTACCGATACTGATCGATATAAATTGCTTACAATTTCCTTATTTAACACAATTTCAGGGGAAAAATACTCAGATATGGACTTATTAATCCTTAGACTGACGATTTGAACAATTTTCCCCCAAAATCGTGGTAAAAAAAATAGAAATTGCACGCAATTCGTATCGATAAGTGTCGAAACTTCTACGCAAATAAAAGAAATGTCAGATAACTCCATAAAATTATAAAGAAAAACCCACAAATAGACACATTTTGTAACTCTTCGATCGATACACATTTTCATAGGAGATTTCATGATCATGTTGTGATGTCGTAAATTTTCGGTAATGATTTTGTCCTGCTGCTCGAGTCAGCGTGATCTTCAATAGAATGCCAAATTAATTAAGTCGCTTATTTGTGAGAGAAGGAATTTCGGAGAGATCTCTAATGCCACCAATTAGATTGCTAAAGAGGAAAAAATATGATGTTGAGCAACTGCGGCGCACTGATTGGCCATTTCAGGTGTGGGTGGCTCGATTGCTCCTCATCTATACAAATAGACGTGTGGGCTGTCTTATTAATTAAACAACGGAAGCGAGGATTTCCATTGAGTGGTTTTGATTTATACATTCCTAATCACACGCTGTGATCGAGACATTTGCAACATTAATGCACAAGACTTGTGGGCTTTATTATACCCCTGAAATATCCATCAATTTTCGCGAAGATGTCGTCTGCGACTGTTGAGTCTTTTCTTGTAAAATCGGGAATTTTTTATCTATACAAAATGCCGTCTAATTTATGAGCGACAACACAAAACTCCCTCCAGAGAGAAAGAGAGAGAGAAATTCGCCTTTTCGAGAGCATGATGAGACGGATTCGCCGACACCCTTGGCTTTTTGGGCGCAAAAAGATTAAAACTTCATCTCGCGATATTTGGTGTGTGCCGAAGTCACAATATATCGCCAGGCTTTTCCTCTATACATTTGTGGTGTTGCTGCGCCCAGAAGGAGAGTGCGAGAGCCAGCGCGGAAAAAATGGGCAGAGATGCCAAGCAAAAAGGTTGACATTCGAAGGATAGCTGTCACGCGGCTTTGATGAATTTCAGATAAATCCACAAGCAGACGAATGAGACAACGAGTAAGTGGTCTGGCAGACGAAATTCTGGTGCAAAAGATCCCTTCTCCATAGAGATCGCGATCTTCGCTAAGACAATTAAGTCGCGCGGCGCTTTTTGTCGTCTCCGCGAAATTTCTCATTTGTATTAGGGAAAATGTCTCGCCGAGGAAGAGACAATCTTAGGAGAATCTCTACACAAGATTGACGAAAAAATTCATTTTTTTTTAGCATACAGTAGCGAAAATTTCCTTAGGACATGCTTTTCAGCGCTAAAAATTCGATATTTCTAAGGATATTTCCTTCATTTCTTTGAGACAGCAGAGTTTTATGATCGTTCACGAAGCGTCGAGATATCACAAAGTGCCTTTTTTGCTCTAAATCCATGGAATAACCGCTATTAAATCACGAATTTGATATAATAGCGCCTTAATTCGGACTCGTCAACGTGCTTTTTGTGTGTTTTTAGCATCCGTTTAACATTTTTGTTCCATTTCTTCCACACAACCGCGACCCAAATCCTGTTCACGGGTTTTTTTATGAAGTGTAGAATAAGACTTCAAGTTGATAATTTCAAGAATAATTATGTGGTCGTGAATATTTGAGCATTTTAAGTCAATTTCTTATTCTAATGTCTAGAAAATCAATAATTTCTTATTGATGTATGACAAGATAATGATTCAAATAACGATTAGAACGAAAACTTAGCATTGTAGTGATTTTAGCACACAAAAATACTTTGAGAAACTAAATTTCAGTCCATAAAGCTCATTTTTCAGGTGTCTTAAACTAATCCTCGCTACTGTATGTTAAGTAGGAGATTAAGAATCTTTAAGAAAATGCTAGAAGAATGTATTCCAGGTGAAGTTTCACCAGACAATCAAAGCTTAATCAATCCAAAATGCAACTATAATCACAATTCATTCATAAGAATTTCAACAATAAGTGATTGAAGAACCTTTAATTGCCTAACAAATTATTATTGGTTCAATAAAAACTGAGAATAAGTAATTATTTGAATTAACTGGCACATTGATAAACCACCAAAAAATGATTAGAAATGGCCATTAAACTGGATTTATCGCTACTCTCTTCCCCAAAATGGAAGGGAAAAGAGAGAAATTCAATGTGATATTTCACCCATTTCCGATCGCAATCAACATTTCCGTCGGATGCATCGCCTGAAATTCAAATGACCAATTTGTCCCCCGAAACGAAGGAAGAACGCAACGAGAAAAAAGGGCTGAATGTGAGAGAAATGGAAGGGAAAAGAGGGAAATATCCCTTCGAAGTAAAAGACATTTTGTCTACCTTTCTATTGCACATGAGAAGCGTGGTTGGGAAAGATTAAAGAAATTAATAAATCGTTCAGCACTTTCATAGCTCGTCACTTTGTGAATGTTGTAAGATAAGAAATAATGATTTATTGTTATGATTTACCACCATTCTAAGACTCAAAGTCACACATTTTTACATATGCTGAGGAATCATTTGGCAATATATTTCTCTTTTTTTTTTCACTCGCTCGTGCACTCCTTTTCACATTGGGATTTACCAAATATCCTTGACACGAATTGGACGATATTTTTGTTATTTGAAGAATTATGCGAATTTTTCTGCCTTCTGGGGATGACTTTTTTTTATAATTTCTGTAAGAAGAAGGTTGAGTGGAACGTCATGCCAAATGATTTCCCTGATATTTCTCTCCTCGACACTCTTTTTTCGGTGTTTGTGCTTTTTTTTCCAGGTTCTTCTTCTTCGCACCAACGCAAACACACAATTTAAATAAAGAAGCAATTACTGTGTCACTTTTTTACACACATTTTCCCTCCGTTCAAAGCCTAAGTCTGTGGAAATCTTTGCAACATTGAAAAATTGACACTTAAGAGATCACAAAATTCACTTAAACATCCTCCTTTTTCTCCTTTTTTCCATCGAAATAAAGATCACTTTTGGCACTCTTTTCCTTGGGGAATTGAGTGTCTCAGGTTTTTCGGGAGGAGAACGTTGAATAAGTAATTTGTATTTACTCGTGTTCCACAAGGCGATCATCAACGGGTGAGAGGAGGAACGACGGAGTGTTGTTTTTTTTGCTTTAAAGGGAAATAATTGACTTTTTACGACATCCACTTTGCTAAAAAATCATCACCCGTGACAAGAGAAGTATTACAATTCAGGTAAAACCGACAACGCCTTTGTTGTTTCCATAGTTTTTGTGGTGTCTTCTTCTTCATAGCATTCTCAAAGAAAACCATGGAGTAGATGTGCTTGTGTACACTTATATTTAATTTACAAGCAATTGGCCGAGCAATTTTCACTGCCGACGGAAAAGAAAAACACCCAGCGAATGATCAAGAGAACCTACTTGTAGGCGGTAAATCCATTTTCATGCTCTCCGTCAGACTCCATTGCGATTGAGGATGTTTTTGTAGAGTTTATCAAAACACGATTATCACACTGAAATTCTTACTGCTCGATGTGGAAAAGTCTGTCTGTTCTTCAGGAGTCACGTTAAGTTCCACTTCTTGTGCACCAAATTTCCCGACAACGAACAATTGTATGTGTGTGTTTTTCTTTCTGTTTTTGGCAGAAATTCACCGGAAAAAGTGATCTTTCGCCCAGAACTTTTACTCTTCAGCCGCTATCCTTCGATACAGAAATCAACAACAATTACTGAGTATTCCATAATTTCGATTAATTTGCAGAGAACACAGATCATGTCACTGATCATCAAGTTAAGAAAAGTGTCCGGTGGAGGAAAAGGCACGGTTTCAACTCGTGAGAGTCACACACAGAAAAAACGACAAGTCAATCTTGAGGGCGAGAGAACAGACGAAAGAGCGATCGCATCTGAACGTTCAGTCTGCGCAATATCCTTCGAGTGACTAAGAAAATCTGACTGAGTGTCTTACCTGGAGAGTACAGGTGTGACGCTGGGTGAGTGGGTTTGGGTGTGCGACAGAGAGCACAGGCGCGCCAATCTCAGGCACCAGAGCGAGACGACGCGAGCACAGCAATCACCTGGCTGCGACTGTGGAAGAAAAAGAGCCAACAAGGTGGCTCTCTTCTCAACGTGCGCCACACAATTTGCCGTTGTGAGACGTTTTTTGTCTCACCGGCGAAAGAGACAAACAAACGTGGCGTTTTTTTCTCGCCGAGCAACACCTCTCTCTCTCTCTCTGTCTTTCACCTTTTTGCCAGCCTATGTGCACTGGCCGTGGTAAATAAGGTGTGATAAGCACACGAAGATCGCCTTATCGATCAGAAAGTGCCACTCTTGTCCCCGCGTGCGTAGGGAAAATATCACACAAAGAGACCTCGCGACGCGTGGAGAGATTGTGTGTCTTTCAACTGTACTTGACCTGGCGTGATCCACTCTTTGGACACATTTTCAGTGATCGGCGCGCAGAGGAAGGGATTCCCAGGCAGATTCAATTGGTCAGACAGAGATGAGAAAATGATCTCTCCCAATTGGAGAGCACCGCACTCAATGACCACGAGTCGGCGCAACAAATCATGAATGAAATGCGCTGCGCCCTTAAGAATGCCCCCCAAATTCTGCACTAATGCTCTCGAGTGTCCGCAAAACTACTATACTCAAATTGTGTACGAAAGATGACAAACACATACATTTCAGGCCACATGACTCAATTAATGACATGATAAAATATTCACCACGGCAAGGCCACAAGATCACTGGGAACAAGGAAATAATTTCACCTCAAGTTGAATTCCCTCTAATTTATGCCACTCTGGCGTAAGATTATTAGTATCTTATGCTGTAGTGTTATATCAAATACAAATCTTCTGCTCTCGTAATTAAGAGTTGGGGCTTGAGTAAAATACGTCAACATGTAAGTTTGAGAGATGATATAAAAGTTATTCGGGGATTTTGAAATATCATTCGCCACTTATGCTTTTTGTCTATTTATTTTGGGTTTTAAAGTGAATTAAGAGACTTTTTTAAGTGCCAACAAGAGCTTTAACACTGCAGAAATCTTGTTGCTCAGTTCAATATTCTTAAATGTAATGTAATAACTCCATTAGATAATAATTTCCAATACAGTCGCAGAAGAATTTTATCAACCAAAATCATTAAATTGTCTATCCGTCAATTGTGAATCAAAATTGATATTTAAAAAATTATTTTTCCTAAAAAATACTTCAGATAACAACAAATTTTCAAAGATTTAAGATCAAAATTGTATTTTATACCTTCAAATTGAATATATTTATTATTCATCATGAACAGACGTGTATTAGAATCTGGTTGTTAAGCTAAATAACTTTTTAATTGGACTAATTAATTCATGCTATGCGAAAAAGACAATCTTTTGTATCTCTTCTAATAATAAATTTATCTTCAAATACCGCAACATTTCTGCCGTGAAGCGTGAAAGCCAAAGGGACCTCTGTCACTCCTGTGCACCCTTCTGCACGAAATGCTTCAATACATTCCCAATTTGTCCTCTCCCTTGAATATTTATGGAGCGCAAAGGGGCCTCGAAGCGCCCTTCGTGGCAAGAAGCACGGCATTTTGGTATCGCAGTGCAGGAATCAACAAGTTTACCTGGTTGTTTTGCCATAATTATCACCTGTCGCGCGTATTCTGCTGCATTTCTTCGCATCGATCGCAATGGGGGCAGAGTCTATGTGGTTTCTCATGCACCTTCATAGGCCAGTGGGTGCTGTTGTAAGCGACTTCCGGCGTTCACGACAAATTGATGATACGCTCAAGACACTCATTCGCCATTTCCGGTTCACACGAGCTGCTTTTCATTCTTATCCATCAACGTGTACCAAAACCCGCACTCTCTTATCACGCGTCCACGTATAAAACCATTAAATCAACCCAGACAATTTCACAGCGACAATTAGAGAAATCACTTTGGCAATAAAGTGACGCTGGAGAATTTTGTCGATGAATGTGAAGTATTTTCAGGATTGTCTCGAAGAAATCCTAAACTTGTCCTGCTAATGGCAGCAATTCATCACACAATGAGTGGATATTTATCACTGAATTGAAGGACATCCCTTCAATCTCACGCAAAACTACCTGAATTCATCGCTCCTGAACAGCTCTGAAATTAATTTCCAATCCGAGACATATATTGTAAGATGAATTGCTCCAGAAAGACGAGATCCTCAGTGGGTGTGTTGAGAGAGAGAGAGAAAGACAGAAGAGCCCGAAGAGCGTCTTTTATAATTTAATAAAGAAACACAAACCATCAAAGATTAAATTCTTCTTCTCAGCAGATTTTTCATACTCAATATTCTCTCCTTTTTGGTTTTGGCATTTGGACAGGGACTCATTTTTCTCTTGCACTCCGCGCCTTAGAGCCTTTGAGGGGTTTTAATAAGAGATTTGCAGCATCAATTAATGGATCCCCAATTCGTGCCCTCATCATGCGCCAACAGTCTCTAATAATAATGTGATAATCTCTTTCTAAAATCAATAAGCCAATATTGGCTTGCCGTTGCTGGGATAATAAAACATTAAAATTATGCTGCAGAGAGAGAGCATGAAGATAAAGATGGAAGGAGTGAAAAAGGAGCGCATAAAAGCATTCTCCACGATCCAATATGTTATGTATATGCGATGCTTTTCACATATCAAATACCAAGTTGCCTTTTTCATCTTCTCTCCTCTTCTCTGACTCTGTTTTTTTTTTCTTCTTCTTTAACGAGCACTTTATACAACCAACTCCCAATGTTTCTCCCTCTCTTCGGGGGAAATTATATAATGTGGCAGTAATTACATCCGCCCACGACTTTCGAGAGAGCAAGATTAAAAAACCACGAATCAACGATGATTTTCGTTCACAACACAGATTTGCAACGCAACCGACGACGCGTGTAATGAAGATATTGCCAAATACCGCAGTTTTGTATTTTCTTTTGAATTGTCTCAGAGGCTTTTTTGGGATTTGGAAAAATCATGTCTTCATGTCATCATCGAAGTAAAATCATTGATTAATTCACACAATATCCATTGGAAGATTGCATTAAATTCAACGGACTTTGAGAAACCCTATTAAGGCAAACACAGGGACATTTCGTATGAAATTCATAGGACTTTTCTATACCTTCCATGGGAATTTTGTAGGACATTCTAACTGAAGTCCGCTGAAATTCATTTTCACGCTTAAATTAAATAAATCAACTTAATATTCTTATTTTCTCCTCTCAAATACCATCAGAATCCACTTCAATGCTGAATATTTGCTTTAGCTCGCGGTCCTGTGGAGCAAGAAATGAATGAACTTCAATCCCAAGTGATTGAGCTGCGTTCCCAAACATAGATTGCGATCTTGGCATATCGTCACCACCACCCACAACTGGCATCAATCTCAGCTCCGGGGGAGTGGAGGATCCCCTTTTATTCCAATTGAGAATAATAACAGTGATTAAGAGGCACTAAACATTGTTATTATGAATTTAGCGGGGAGGAATTAAGAGAGTGCACACATCTTCCTGCCTCTCTCCAGACAGTCGACGAAAAGAGATTGAAGAGGGGCTCGTGCATTGCCAATAAGATGATCTATCTCTCTCCCTTGCGCACTTCATTCTCAATTGGAGGTCGAGGAGGAAAATACGCTATAAATCTCATTTATAGATCTCATGATAAAAGGACCTCACGTAAGATTTTTGCCTTATTATTCCACTCATTTCTTCTACTCTTATTTCCCTCACCCAGTAAAAGGTTATTTCACTTCGATTGTCTGCCAGCCAGTTTTCCTAATGAATCTTCCCGCAAATCTTCTCTATATGTAAATCATCTCTCTGATTGGCGTACGCCTCAAAATCTTGCGCCGTTCCGGGCGCACAAAGAGACCTCCCAAAGACACTTGTGCGCGAGCATTTAATTTCGGCTCTTATGCTTACCTCACAGCGCCACTAAATCGAAATATTTACAACATCGCGCAATTTGAGGAAGAGTGAAAAATAAAATAATTGTGATTGCCTCATCCATTTGTCACTCAAGCATCATCTTAATCATCAAAAGTAATTTCTATTTCTTGACAGTCTGGCTCTCTAAGTAATCATATCTGTGTTTGTGTGTGTTTTTCAAGTCTAATATCTTCATATGGACATCTCAATGGACAGACATGAGTTCGGAAAATCTATGTTTTAGACTTGGTTAGATGTGATATGAAGAATAAGATGGAAAATGCTAGAATAATCATTAAGAAATATAAGAATAAATAGCATTAAATACTAAGAACTGCAAAAAGGAACGTAAGAAGATTTTCCACCCGTTTTGAGATCAGGATCAATATTTGGAATGCGGTTTTAGCACACCAAGAAGCTAAAGACGAAGGAAAACCCTTTTTCAAAATTTAAAGTCACCAATCTTCCTCTTTCTTAGCCTTGTGTCGGAATTTAGGGCCATTTCTCAAGATTTCAAAATAACAGACAAGCGACAAAAGAATGAATGAATATCTTGAATGATGACAACATTTGCAATTTCCTGCAAATTGAACTGAAGTTTTCACCTTCAAGACTCACATCTTCTCGGCTGATGTTTAGAAAACAAAATTACAGGCAACGAAGAAAGCTCAGTGAAGAGCAATTTCATACTTTCTGCGCTCCTGATGTCTCATCAAGTGGCATTTCAGCTTTGCATGCATTGTTAGTAATTTTATTCACTGGAATTTCTGTCGCACCGCCAGAACAGATTGTCAGGCAATCTTAATTGCACAAGTCGCGGCTGTGTGTTGGTTGACTGATAAAAAATGAAAACGAAAGCGTTTAATTTAGCGGAGAATTTTCACTGGCGAGGAACCGAAATCATTGTACAAATCTCACGTCCAATTAGCGCTTCTTTTTCTGCCGTCAGCGCAATTTGTCTCGCGTTGCCTCCTTGCGTGTGACAATTTAGTTACAGTCTAATAATTCAGAATAATTCCCAATTGCCCATCAAAATTGTCATTCCTTCGGCGCTTTCACCACTTTTGCCAACAAAAAATTACTCACCTATAGCGAAATGCCTGTGCCTTGTGACTGCACTTAAGAGATAAGAAAATCCGCGTCGCGCAGTCGAAGAAAGTGAATTTTTCACGTTCGAGAAGGCGCTCAATTCGCATTGCGAGCATTAGAAAATCACGCCAGCGCATTTCGTAATGCCCAAAAAATCTCATGCGTATAGAAATTTAAATATCAATGCAACCATTGACAAGCATTTACGAGGCGTGCAGAGCAATAAAATCTACTGAAGGAGGCAGGAAAAAAAATCTATGCGCGCACATAATAATTCGTGGAAAGAGTCTCACAGGAAATTAGCTCTCTCGAGCAGCGAATAAGCCCCGAATTAATGCTTCCCGCGCCACAAATGAAAGTGTTTGAGTAAACATGCAGACAACACAGTTGGAATTATCGATAAATCGACCAATTTACGAGGCTCTCCTGCCAAGCTGGACCAGCAGAAGCACCTGGGATTAATCGCAATTGCCTAACGAGATTTATGTCAACACACGCGCACTTTTCCTCCTCACTTGCGCCAGAGCCTTCGCCTAAGCGGCGCACAATCGCGCTGTTGGGAAAACATAGTGTCAAACTGTTAAGTATGCAGATCAGGCAAATGGTAACAAAAGGTTCGCGTCGTCCGTGAGCCAGACAATGGCTGGGAAGATGAGTCGGAAAAGTAGCAGGAGAGCAAAAGACGAGATAAAAAACCGTGACGTCCAGAAGATGTTCAATACCGCGCGCCAATTTTATTTGACCGCTTGAGATGCAACAGGGTTATTCACACACTCCGCGCGTGAAGTATTAATCGACACATTTGGGGATTAAATTGCTTCCTTACATGTGCTTTTTATGTCAAACAACAAGCATGATCTTTGTGTTAAAGGATACTAAAAGCCATTTAGCGTCACTGTCAATTGTTGTTTCATATAAGATAAGAACAGTATTTAAGAGATATACTAAGTTTCCAGTGGATATTTGAAAGGATCCTTGAAAAAAACTTATTCGTGTAGTAAAATCATGCGCAACAATCGAAACTTTATCAATTTCCACCAACATTATTCGCTATAAATCGACAAAGATATGAAATTTGCTATTTTAGAGTAAAAAATCAATCAAACAGCTCTGAAAATAGACAATTTTGTATCTTGAAACTACATTTTAGAGATTATGATCAATCTTAGTGTAATTAACACAGTTTAACATAATTCTATGAGTGATGATTTGCATTAGAAAATCCTCATTTCTTCAGAATATCTTCTTAAATTTGCCAATTCTAGAAGTCTTTCTGAACTACCTGGAAAATTGCATTGTGCTTTGCATATTATTTCTAAATTTCCCTGCTTTTTTATTAAAAAAAGGCATTAAAAAGCTTGAAGAAGTGCTGAAAATGTAATTTTTGAAGAAAAAAATCAGCCTTAATCTTCTCATCCTTTTTTCCAATTATCATCGCAAGAAAACATTGGAGAGAAACACACACAAATTTACTGAATAACCTTGTTGATGGCAACGAAGAAAAATAAGGAGCAGAAGAGCCTCTGGACGATGCCTTTAAACCCTGAAAACTCTCACTCCACATGATCAGGCCAACAATAACAGAGCGCGATTTGTGGTCCCTCTCAAAATTTCTTTCTGGAATTGTGTGTCTCTCGCGGACTTCTTCTGTACCGCGATCGCCTTTTTTTTTCTCCTGCACCATCTTCTCGGTATTACACAAAAATATTTATAATACTTCGAGAGAGCGAAAAAAAAGGTCTCTTTTGGGCGATCGTGGCGGTTTTTTTTCGCCCTCCTCCATTCTGTGTTCACTTCGTCGAAAGATGTCAACTCACTGAATAAGTTACATAAAAAATGCAACCACCGCATACAATATTGGGATTCCTGAATTGAGAATTAAGGCTGCCGCGCGATCATCCATCGCCACTTTTTTTCCTTCCCTTTTTTGCCCGCGAGACTCGCGGCCGAAATCCCCATCGCGAGGCGCAGAGGAGGTGGAAGAAGGTGGGAAGATGTCGTGGCGGAGGAAAGAAATAATGTAGAGCAAAATGACTGCATAAATTCTGTCCGAATGTCGTATGAATATTAATTGGCCACATTTGATATATAGAAATTTCGCTGCGCGCGTCGCCAAGAAGATGAGCCACGGCGGGAAAATCGCAGATGTTTTGACGAAAGTCGCGATAAGAGCGCAGCAATTGCAGAGCACTGAGCCGCTATCAGTCGGAGACAATGAGTCTGTGCAGCTATTTCAAAATTCCTTATCACACGTCCGCCAGTGGCGAAAAAAGTGCGGAAACTGTGTAGAAATCGCCTGCGACACGTGAGCTTTCGGTGCCGTTGACTGATGGCGAATTGTAGGGACACTCTGTCACCTTTGTCCACTCTATCGCCGCGACGGTGATCGACAGAGTGGCAAATATGTGTCAATTGCAGGAGTTTCGCAATTGACAGTGATTTATGAACAATTCCACATTATGCCACGCGGTCTCAGCATGTGTGACACATCCCGGAGAGATGCAGCACTGCCCGAGCCGAGAAAGGGCAAAAATCTCTCCACTCTGACCATGGGAACTGAATCACACGAATCACAGAGGGAAGGAACCAAACCCACTCTGCAGGTGAAATCCTACAGGAAATATGCTTGAAAGTGACTAAAGAAGTCCTGCAAAATCACCACTTCTGATAATCCACAGAAGAACAGATCGAACGTCTTGAGATCAGGTCATTGTTCAGTAATTATCATTTAGTAATTGTGTAGCACAAATATATAACCCATCAAAAGATAAATCCCTGTTGGCGTAAACAAACAAAATGTCGGAACACTACAAGCCAAGCTACAAACAATCATTGAGAATTGCAAGAATTATGCTCAAAAAAACGTACAAAAGTCAGCAATTCAGTGACCTTCAGTTGCATTGCGTATTGCTGGAGTTCTCAGGAATTTCGTCATTCTATCAAATGACTTTCTTACACGTAACTTTACAAAAATTACAGACACAAATTTTGTCAAAGCGCACAGAATCGACAAAGAATCTTTTTAGTGTTTGCAGCGCTGTTGCGGCAATTTGTAAATGATCGATTTATCGAAACGCGATATTGATTTTAACTCGATGCACAATTTTTTACTGTGGAAATTCAATCTTAAAACTCTAAATTCTTTTCGTCAGAAAGAAGAGATAAAATTGAGGCACAAGACAGTGTATAGAAGAAGTGTTAATAAATCGAGATTATTAATAATTTCATCATTCTATTATGATTTCTCAGTCTATTTCCGAAATTTACAATCTAAAAATATTCACTCCAAATATATCAGATCAACACACATGATACAATAAATAACCATTTGACTTCCCTATAAATATGAGAAGTGATGATCCAGCGCTCAAGTATCATTCTGGCTATATTTAAAATGCCTTTCAAACGCGTGCAAAATCAAAGAATTCTAAACAAATTAAACATCTCGAATTCTATTAATACCAGTTTGACGCTCAATTTCCACATATTGAAAGTCACCGCGTGGAAAAATCCAATGATCCTTATCACTGCGGTCGCGATTCATTGAAATGCGGACATTTTTCGGGAGCATAAATCGCATAAATTTGTATCTTTTGCAACAAGTTCACGGTTGGAGATTTCTCAAGTCGATCAGCAGCAATTTTCTGATGTATTTGACATCTGCGTCGACTCGCTTCATCAACAAGAATCGATCCAATGGTCACATTTTATTTATTATTCGCAATAAATTTCACATATAGTGTATATATATATAAAATGTGTTCAGCAGAGCTTCTTTCATATTTTTCACATGACGACTGCACAAGACCTTCGCGAATCTGCGCCGCGCTTCTTCTCCGCCTCCTTTTCAGCCATTTCATACAAAATATCGTATTTATTGGGAAAGTCAGCGCTTTAAACACTCTTTCTATATTGCAAAAAATGCTAAATCAACTCTCTGGGCGCCTTTTCACCATCAACTTTGGACGAGAAAAACAACAGACTTTCAGTGATAACACACTTTACATTTCACATCTCTTTCACTGCCCACAATTTATATTACTATTATTTTCTTTTAAACATTTACAAAGAGTGTAAAACACACATTTACAACAGTGCTCTATTACAACGCTCTATCTCTCTCTCTCTCTCTAAAGCCTCACAATCGTCTAACAAATCCTCTTGCCTGCGCATCAATAAAAATGTTCCATATAAAAGTTTCAAGACAGATAAAAAAAAAAACCATAACAAAAATGCATTTGTTCGCAAAATTCCATCATACTTGGCGCACAGCTTTCGCACTTTCTCCTCCTTTTTCTTCTTCTGTGCCCTTCAAAGGAATGTTCAAATATATCTATATAGTCAAAATAGCCACTATTTCATGTCACTCAGAGTGATTGCAATCATTATTGTATATCAAAAGAGTTAACTGTTTTTGAGAAAAGAAACATTTTGTGTACAAAAAGTCGTTGCGGCACTTTTTCATCAATCCCTGAATATTTTTTAGCCCCCAAAAGCGCACCTCAAATTCACTCTCGTCGCGCACCAACGACGTATCCTTTGGCCGCCAGGACGCCTCGACACTTCACGTGCACCTGAAATCTCATTGTCCACTTGGGTGTGAAGCCTTTCACGTTCAATTCGCCCGCCAGCGTGTCTCTGGACAGAATCTCTGCAAGGAAACACAAACAGATTAATTGGCAGCGCCACAAATATCGCCTTTAAAACGAGAAAAAATCAATTATGTTGCCAAATCATTGCAAAAGCCGGATTTAAAAATAGCCAAATCACCTTAAAATAAACCACTCGTGCATTAAGTTGTTTCTGAATTGATTTAATATCATTTCATATTAATAACGACGAGCGACACTCATTAATATCAAGTCACTCCAATTAATTGCGGCTCTTCAGCCACGAGTGACAAAATTGCTGAGCAACTCATTAATCACTTCATTAACACTTGATCGGCTTTTACAAGCAATTTCAACGATCAGCAAACTTCTATTTGTGTTCTAAAGTGTAGAGAAAAAAAAACTTAACTCTAGATAATAAGCCTGACTCGACAGAATTAAACGTTCGCATTCGAGTAAGTTCCGTGACGAAATTCAGCTGATATTTCATCTCTAAATGAGCTCAGCCGATAACAATTTAGCCAAATATTGTAAATGATGCACAAAATAGGCATGAAAATAGATTTCATCCATTTCATCACATGAAAACAGGTTGAGAAACGCTCAAACTGACCTTTAGCAGAGTTAGAGTGATTGAAAGACGAACAAGAAACATACTTTTCCACCCAATTCTACGTCATTTTTGAGTCCCTCCCAAGTGTCTCTCACCTTCCGGATCGCTGTGCGTCAGCAGCTGGATGTCGTTCTGGTGGCAGAACTCCTGCAGCGGCGGCGGAACCACGCAGCACGTGCTGATGTTGATCTGCGCGATGGACGGATGGAATTCCGAGACGCTGTGCAGTTCCTGCAGCGAATTCACGTCCAGATCGGCGATGCCCAGCTGCGTGACCTGCAAGAGAACAGACAGAGAGGCTTTAGCGTGGCCGCAGGAGGCGACAAGCGCCGCGGCTCACCTTCTTCTCCAGCGCATAGCGTTCCATCTCGCGCCACAGCGCCTTCAGGTCTGGGATGGCGTCCGCGCGGCCGCCGGTCCAATCCATGACGCCGCCCTCCTTGGCCTCCTCGGCGTCGCCGTTGGCCACGCCGTTCGTCGTCCGGCCCTGCGGATGGTAGGCCAGGATGAGGTTGTCCAGGCACTCCACGCCCAGCACGCTGAACAGCGTGTCGATGGCGCTCTTCAGGTTGTCCGTGGAGTTGTCGTTGAGGAACAGCTTGGCGCCGATCTTCACGTTGGCGCGCTCGTGCTCCGTCACCTTCTCGCGCAGGTCGTCGCTGGCCCTGGACACGGCGGCGCCGCCGCCCTTGCCCACCGCCACGGACGCGGCGTCGAGCGTGGCGCGCAGGCAGTCCACCAGCTGCAAAGAGGCGGAAAGAGAGTGTCAGCAGAGTTATCGCCGCGCGGCCGATAAGGAGCCCCGCGAGATGAGCGCCACTCTTCTAGCACATTCTCGCGGAAGCGCGCACACGTGACGCAATGGGGGCACTCCGAGCGTGACGTCACCGATGATTCTGCGATTGTTGATCAATGTTATGCAAGACGCCAGATGACTTCGCTCAAGAGACTCAAGGATTCCCAGAAATAAACACGCGCGCAGCGCCCAAAACAGCCGCACTTTGGAGAGGCGCGCTCTTACATAAGCTGGGCCCCGGAATCGCCATTGGGGCGCTTCTCTCACCTCTTCTGACGGCTTCTGGCCGGCCTTCTTGTTCACGCCCAGCACATTTCCCGTGTTGATCACGAGGTGCAAATACTGCTGCGGATTCTCGAGAGGCATCCTCAAGTCACTGCTACGCACAATCACCCACTATTTCACAACAATTTCCCACCGACAAGTGCGAGAGAAAAATCCAGACGCGATTGTTTTCTAGTCGCTGCGCTGTCGCCTCACACCGCTCGCAGAGCGCTCTGGCGGAAACCCGTCTCATCTGCTGCTCACATTTTTCTAGCACTTTTTCCCGCCCACGACATAACCTCGCATTGTGCAACACACTGCCAAGAAAAAAAAACACACACTTCAACTCGAATTACGCGACGAATCGTGCGAATAAAGTGTTCTTGACGGGGAAAAAGAGCGAAGAAAGGCCTAAAACGTGACCCCAAATGTAAACTATTTTATATTATTTATGTTGTTGTCGCTAGCGATTGGAATTTCAATCACTTATTTTCCGCCACTGCCTTTTCAAATTATTTTATACAATCGCACTGAGTGGCTGAAGAGTACCAAAAAACAAGGAATTGAATAAGTAAGAGGTAATGAGAGTGCGCTGAGTTCTTGATAGTAATCATTATGGGACTTAATTAAGCACTTCTTCACCCTCAAAGTGCTAGATTTAGTGAAGAAGAAGCATATAAAGTCACTACTTCTAAGCTTTGAAGTTTTAAGACTGTTTCCACACTAATTTCTTAACTTTCTGTTCGATACTGCTATAGAAATGAACTCTTAATACTTTTTTCTGTATCTTTTCTGACCATAACCTAAAAATATTACCAAAAGATCTTTAAAGACTCCGCTTGGGACCTTTCTAAAGCGCAAAATCATGTTTTATGATTTGGAAATGAACTCAAAATTGCTGAATCAGAGTCAGAATTGTCCAGAAGGTATTCTAAAGAAGCATTTCCCAAGTTTGAATTATTATTTTTGAGGTTATGTCTGATCTTAGCACATTTTACACTGTTTCTTGGCATCAAAAGATCGGAAAAGCACTGTTAATTGTTTGCAAATAATTAATTCTGCCAAAGATTAATAGAATTTATGTGTTAAAATGCGAATTATTCACTAAATTTATCCTAGATCTGTTACATAACCTAGAAAATGATTATTACGGTTGTTTCTATGGAAATTCAGGATAATTTGTTAGTCAAAGAAGCACTCAAGGAAGTGATATTGTAAGTTTTTGGACACTTTCACTTCCTATAATTCTTTTGCTCAGCTGTACACCACTTCTGACTGTATCATCGCCACCTTGGATCAAGTATGACGAAAGGTGCGTGTTTTTTGACCGCCAAATAAACTCAATGAGAATATTATGACGTGAAAAGAACAGTTGGGCGCGCAAAAAAGGAGTCACAATAGAACATCTGAGCTTGATTTCCTCGTCAACATCTCGCAATTGGAAACGCTCACCTTCAGTGAGAAATTTCACTGGATGCGCGAAGCACTCGGGAATGGTTTTGTATGGTGTTTTGGGACAATGGCAGAAGCGCGCGGCCGCTTTTTTGCGCTCGTCCGCCAGTGACTTCTTGAGAAATCAAAACAACGCTGCGATAAATGTATGAGTTTCATTGAATGGCAAATGATTCCGCAATTGGTCTATTTGGTCGCTTTTTTTCCCATCGCGCCACAATCTTCTCTTCGCGAGCAATTCTCGGGTTTTGTGCGGCATCAGGCATTTTTTGCGGCCGCGCGAGCAGTTCTTGGGTGATTTGTGGTGCAGCTGGAGGCTCAAAGTTGCCAATAAACCTTGAAGGAGACTCTCACCAAATGGACAATGAAGTCTCATCACGAGCGAGACAGAAGTGAGAGGAACGCCAAGACAATCACCTGCGAAATATTACCCATAAAATTCCTCCAGCGCAGCACTTTGTGTACCAGCAACTCAAATCGCGCTCAAGTGATGCAGAAATGGCACGAAGATGGAAGTGTGAAGTGAATTAGTCTTCTTGCGAAACTGTAATTTGATAATTACACATCCACACAACTTCTGCACAGCATCAATTGCAATTGCGCTGCAAATGATGCTCAACTTCCCAATTTTTTCCCGCTCCTCTTTGCAGCCCTCAAGAAAAGACTTGCGGGATTTTTTCTTTCCATTTATTGAGACGCTTTTTCATTGCATATTATATGTTATCAATTGCAATTATGTACCTACGATATAATTATACATATACTGTTTAGTCTGCATAATAAATAACACTCAATCAATTGGCATTGTTCGCAATGCTGCTGAAAAAATCATATTTACAAGAAAAAATATACTTCCTCGTGGCTCACAATTCACCTTTCGCAGATGTTCACAGTGGCAAGGAGAGAAATAGCACAGGTTTTCTCTATCTTCGTCCACGCAAGAGTTTCTTCAATGTTTTTGGCACACTTTTTCCATCAGAATCTGATCGTCCTGAAGAGATATCCAAACATTTTTCCTTTTTTTTTAATTTTTTGAACAACAAATTGTCAAAACTTTTTTTTAATCAAACCAAAAGTGTTGTTTAAAGAGTCATTTAACTTGTTGTAAAATTCATTCTGAAAATAAATTTACGTGGATTTTGATGTATTTTGAGGTTAAGTGTGAATATAAAGTGAGGTTATGAGTACATCTAGACATACTTATTCAATCATTTTATGGATTTTCATCTGATATTGCTCAATAAAGCTCTCTAACGACTCCTCATCATATTTTCTAATAAAAACATTACTGTCATATTAGTTAAATAGTTACTTAACTCGCCAACATAACCTAACTTTCTCTCTTTTCTTAAAGACCTGATTCTTCCGATTCTTCTCATTTTCCTGTGAATTCTCCCACACTCTGTGCTATTTCCCTTTGCACCACTGTCAGTGCGAATTCAAGATTTTCCTTTATCGTAAATTTGCAAATCAATTTCACCGGTAACACATCATCATGATGTCTTTCGTCCCAAAAACAACGCATTGCTTTTGTGTATTTCGCTCGGGTGATAAAATCGCACGAAGATTCGCTCTTATGTCACGCATTTATTGGCATTAAATTCTTCAGTCGTGATTTTACATTGCGCTCCGAATGTCTTTCACCCAAGGAGAAAAAACCCCTCTCAATAAAACGCAAAGGAAAATTTACAATTTTAATGAAATACAATTTGAAAATGAAAAAAAAAATTTGTACGTAAAATTAACCTTCATTAACAGCTAAAATTTGCGCTGATTTCACTTTAACAGCATCTCTAATATTTTCAACACTCGAAATCTGTGTGCGGATTAAATTGTAATGTGTTTCCTTTTATTCTCTCTCATCTCTACTTAAGAAGAAGACTTGACTTTGCATGAGGAAAGTGAATGTAATAATTACTATTATAGATAATCACAGAATTAAAAACTACATTTTTTTTATCATGTTCTTCTGTAGCTCAAGAAAATGTCGCCAAGAATTTTGTTGCTGGTTTGTGTTCATTAAATTGAGATTTTTGTTGCATAAAGTGTGACAAGTTTCTCTTTTTTTTAAGTACCTTATCAAGTATTCTCTAACAATATTCTTGCCTTTATACTTCATTATCTTACACAAATTTCTACGCAATATTCGCTACTCTTCGTGCAGTTCTGCGCGGCTTCAATATATCAACAAAAAAAAGATCGAAATCGTGTGCGATTGAAGAGGAGAATTCCCTAAACAAACCAGGAAATGTCACTACTCAGCATCTCTCTGTCGACTTGTGTTGTGCAGTATTGGATGCAATTGATATTTGATAGCGTGAGCGATGATAAATTGGCACAAGAGAAAGTCCAGTTGCGCGTGAGTCGCGCGCAACTTAACTGCCGGTGTGTTTCTTCTGGCGCGCTCCGATCACTCTGTACACATCCTGCGGCGGCGTTTCCTTGTACAGGCTGTCGGAGGGACTCTTGGAGTTCTCCCGGTGGCCCAGCGAGCGCCGCCCGGTGAAGGAAGAGTCGCGGATGAGCGGCATTCGCGACCAGAAGCGCATCAGCACGGGCTTCTGCTGCTTCGTGGCGTTTCTGCCCCACGCCGGCGGATACCAGGCGTGCTTCCGCTGCGCCGGCTCACTCGGCACCACCGTCGCCGGCTTCCGCGTGAGTGACTCAGGGATGAGTCGGTTCATATTTGGCACGAAGCGATGCGACGCCGGTCCGGGGAATCTGATCAAGTCCGCCTTGAACTCCTCCGGCGAATCCTCATCCTCATCCTCTGCCGGGAATCTTATCCGGTTGCTCGGTCTGGTCGTGGTCCGGCGCACGTGATTGACCCTGCTTGCCGGAGACTCCGTCGTCGACGGCTCCACTGTCGTCTCAGTGCTGAAAGGAATGGTGGTTTGAGGCGCAACAGTCGTCGGACTCTTGAGATGATGATAGACGAAGCGATTGTTGGCATCAATCTTCTCCATGGCGGCATCTTTCTGCTCCTGCTGAATCACCATTTCCCGCATCTTCTTCTCAGTCTCGCTCTCATCCGCCAGCCCCAGAAGCTCCTTGTCACCCTCGAATTGCGTGCTGAGCGGCACTTCTGTGCTGGAAATGAAGACATTCGGGATGGGCGTGACGATCAGCACGGACTCCTTTCGACTCGGCTTGAACTTATCCGTAATGATGACCACGCGCTTCTCCTCCAGCGGCTTCAGCGTCGTGGGCATTCGCTCCACAGTCTGCGTGGTTGGTGATGTCGTCGTGCTCTGCGTGAACACTTCCGTGATCGCCTCGTCACTCACTGTCGTGCTCTCCTCCATGTCTGTGCTCTCAGTCGCACTCACGTCCAGGAATTCGTCCCTCTCGAGCTCATTCGCTCTAAGCGTACTATTCTCCAGATCCTCCTCCTCCTCAGTGACTAAAGCTGGCGTGGAGAATCCCTCCAAGTCTGCGGGTTGCGTCGTGTTTTCCTCCAGCACGAGGAATTCCGTCGCATTGGCAAGCATTTCCGTTGAGGAAACCTCAGCAGCGGAAGAGGTCGTGAAGCTCTCCAGCGTTGTCGTTTCCGTGATATTTTCCGTCGCATCCTCACTCGAGGCTAGAGACATATCTGTGGTGAACTGGAATGGAAAATATTGTCATCCTAAATATGTTGGCCAGAAAAAAACCCCTTCAATTCATTCACATTTGCCAATATTTGCTGAAATATTCCACAGCAAACACTCCGCAAATGCCTCACTAAATACACTGTCATGCAAAATGTTCGCTTTAAGGGGGAATTGGTAATTTTTCTTCTGATATTTACCATAGTTTTTCCTCATCAGGAAGATATTGAGCCGCCTTGCAAATTTCAGAATCATGCTTTTTGTCTCAAATAAATCTCTTAAAATGTCTCTAAATACAGCCTTATGAAGAAACTTGAACACTCAATTAGATTTAGCCCAAAAATTGAGGTCAAACCTAAGATAGGAAGTCTATTTGTTCTGAAAATGAAACTCTTAAGTTTTTAGAATATCTTCTCTATGGCAAAAATACGTTCCAGTCGTCGGCAAGAATGTAAAAGAACTCATAAGAAATTACCTTGAAGCACCTTTTCTCGAAGAAACCATTTGCTAAACCGCGTGTTTATTCGATAAAATTCTATATTCTCTCAAGTAAAAATCATACATTCTTCGTATTAGAACACATTGAGTTGTCTTTTATGTACATATTTACATCTTAAACTATCTATGAATCACTTTAATCTTCGGTTTCTCTTTCAAATAGACTTCTTTTGAATTGTGAACACATTTGCACGACAGTGTGTGGGGAATTCTCGACCAAAAACCCATCATTAACATGACATTATCATACTTTCGTTCCTTCATCGAAGCTCGTGGTCGTCTCTCGCTGGCTCTCTCGGATGCTCGAGGGCTGCTCCTCGAGGCGGTCGTCGTCGGTGCTGAGGCCCATCGGCGGCCTCCTGGCCTCCTCGCTCTGCTCCAGCTTCGAATCGGCGTCCAGGGAGAGCGGCAGGTTGACCTGGAAGGGGCCGCTGGTGTCGTAGGCGTCGTAGTCGTAGACCTCGTCGTCCTCGGCCTGCAGATTGGTGGACGCGAGGATGGACTGCAGGCGGTTGGCCAGCAGATCATTGGGATCGATGCTCACCACCCTGATGCACTGGCCACGGTGGTCCACCTTGAAGCCGGGCGGACACGGCAGTGACTCATTGCGAAAGTTGGGCGCGATGAAGATGGACTTGGGCGTGATCTTGCGCGTCATGTCGCTGTGGAAGGGATTCTGCGAGTCCACCCTGAGCCATGCCTCCCACGCCAGGTGATCCGGATTGCTCGCCAGGGGCTTCGATGTCACGGGCAGCGCGGCCACTTGGCCGAGCAAGTGCGAGCAGAGAGTGTAGAAGATCACAATCAGTGGATTCGGCGTCATGTCTTATCTTCACTTCATTGCATCACACACTCCAGCATGCTGTCATCTCACTCAGCCTCTCGCGGGATCTGCAAGGAGAAAAATGCCCATCTAATTAGCCTTCCAGCTTACTTTTTGCTCTGCGCCTTAAGTCAAAACACCATTTATTGGGTGTTGATTTCAATAATAATGAGCGCACGGTTGTTACACAGCCAATTTAGCCATTGTTGTGAGCCTCGCGTGGCTTCTCAATGTCTGCACTCAATCAGACAAATTGGCAAAAATTGACATGATTTCATATTACACCATTGATTTATTGTTGGCTGGCTGTCGTGGCATTGAGAACCTTGGCGTGGTCGCTGATCAAGATCGCAACTTGAACTTTAGTGGAACATATTTTGCTCCCCGATCAAAAAACAGAACATTTGCCTCCAGTAGCGTAGCAAATTCAATTCCCTTTAGCTTCTGCTTTTGCTTTTCAAATTGTCTTTTCTGAAATTCGAAATTATTCTCATACTACACGGCAAATGTTAACCCGCTTCCACTCAATTTCACTACGCCACTGTCTCTGTGTCTTCTTATTGTTATTTCGCGCAGTCACTCTGTCTCTTCCTCATTTCTCCGTCAATCGACGCGTCAATCTGCCGATAATTGGGTGATATTTGGGTTATATGTCTTCGCCAACAGTGTGACTAGTGAATCTCAACATTGTGCTCAATTCCAGGGCACAAACTTGCGCCTAGCTTAATCGTGACTTGACCCAGCATCCCAAGGAGAGAGAAGCCAGAGAGAAACTCCCAAGAGTGTCTCTCTTGGGCAGTAATTATCGAATCGTAAAATCACTTTGATCTTTTCTAACACGCTCTCAATTTGCCACAATTTAACAAGATGTCTGCGGCGTGGAAGACTCTCTGCGCGAAGAGCTTAATTAATTGCTGGTGATAAGAAGAGTTGCAACAGTGTTTATGGCTTTAAAGTCCAACACTCTGAAGCGCGTCGCCCAATACAAATTGATTGATAGTCTTGTGATCTTCTGAGGTCATGCCTTTTTTTCGCCTTCTCTCGCATCTCTCTTTCTAACATCATTCAAACACACATGAATATACGGATGACGACCCAGTTCATTCAATCGCTCAATTCAATAAATTTCATATTTATTCCTCATCCCAGTGCAAGTGTACGACTTTTACGAAACACACCATCAAAATGTAAACCAATAGACTTCCAATATTTATTAACCAAATGTGTTTCAAGGTATTTGGCGTTGATTAAATTCGTGATTTCTGAATCACGTTCGAAATTGCTGTTATGTTGTTTTTCTAACTCCTATTAGCTATGAGAAGAAATTCACAATTTTCCAAGAAATCCCCCAGCATTTCCTCACGTGTGTCCCTCTCTCGACTTCTCCCATTTCAAATTACCAACTGCACTTTGTTCAATTGCCGCCCAAGAATAAATGTAGGTTTTTATATCACATTGTTTTCTCCAATTCTACGTTCTAAGTCACATTGCATCTCTCTCTCTCGCGCGCTCTTCTGAGAATGAGATTGGTAGAATAGATACTCACGAAATTACGAGACATACAAGTGGACTGAAAATTTATATGTTTCTCAATGATCTTGATATTTTAGCCTAGAAAGAGAGAGACAGAGAGAGAGAGAAAAGCAGCTTCCAGAAGAAAGCCACTCGCGCTCTGTGAAGAAATCTTCAGCAGAATTGCTCAGAAAGCGAAAATATTAACGGTTAATCGAGCAAGAATACTCTCTCAAATAAGACAAGTGTCTTATAAATAAAATATTCTGCAAAAGAAAGTTTCAATCGTATCTTTTCACTGTATGGACACTAATGAACATTTGTAAGCACATATATTTCAGTCAGAAAATATATTAAGCATTTTCGAAGAAAAAAGTGCCACGATTTAAGCTTGGTTTCCTTGAGCTTAGAAGACGGCTCTCTGCATCTTCGAATTCCTGTCGAATTGAATGCAATGATGGCTCATTAAGTTTCAAGTTGAAAACACACCGGCAAGATTCGCATGAAGGAGTCCAAAATCTATTCTTGGAAATGGAAAAAGAGTTTTCTGTGCGAAGTTCTCTTCCATCACTTGGGAGATTTACCGTCCAGAACATGATTTTGCGATTGCACACGAACACTGGAGGAGAACTTGAGTGGTTTCTTCACAATTTGATAAATCTCATGTGTCTGCCAATTGAGGGAAAATGTCTGGACTAAACTGTGCAGAACCATTTTGAAGTTGAATGGAAATGAGAGGCAAATTTCTCATCTTAATCGTGCACTTCACAAATCCAGCATTTCCTGCATTTCTCTGGACTTCTTTTTCACTATTTCCTTTTTTTTGTAAGAAGAAAACCACTTGGAAAATTTATTTTTAACATCCCTTCTTCTTCTGCACCAGGAATAATGTCTGGCAGTGAATATGAATATTTTTCATCTGCCTTTGGCAAAGGCGAAGTGTGTATAAAATGAAAATTTACACACTCCCGAAGTGAAAATATTTTTAAAGAGTGAAATTTTTGGCTTTTATGCCGTGTGCCATTCATATATTTTATTTTAGGACAAACTTCGTGTTGGACTTGAGAGACTGTAAAGACGGAGATTAACATTATTTTTAGGAGAGGGAGAGAAGTGTAATGGTGAAAAAAAAACAGAGACACGAGAGCGCCAAGAAAGAAACACACAAAAGCTCCTTCCAAGACCAGATTATATGACTGATGAGAGTTTCTTCTTTGACGTAATTAATGTCATTTTAACGTATTCCTCTTTATGTAAACCATTTCTCAAACATCATAAATTTTGTCTTCTGCAGTATGAAAACATGCGCGGCCGCAGGAAAAATATAGATATATACACTTGGTTAATAAGACGAAGGTAAGGAGACATGAAAAAGATCTCGTGTTGTTATTTTTTATATGGGCTCTGACATTTTATCAAGTGAAAAACTGGTTCTTCTGCCAATTTATCTATTGACTTTATCCATTTTCATTCACATTTCATGTGTGGAAGCCGAGTGAAGAAAAAAGGCAATATATCGACATTAATACTTGTAAGGTCAACAGGTAATAAGAAAAATCTTCCACGAACGCATACACACCTCAGCACTTGCGATCTTAAGAGCATTTCCACCCATTTTCGCACGCCGTTCAACTTTTTTTCCAGCCTCCACAAACATGAATTCAAGCCAATTCAATTCAGCCATCCTTTTGCGAATGCATTCAGGTAAATGTGAATAGGAATAAATTCAATTGCCTCTGCGGAATTTCCTCTCCAGTCAAGTCAAGTCTGAAAATCGAATGGTACAAAATGCGCTCTCTTACGATGCACACAATCAAGTGGGGAGCAAAAAGGGAAATTCATCCCTAAAAGCTGTTGCGTGCAAGGAAGATATAATATGCACCAAATCTGTACACCACACAATTCTACAATTCCTCTGCAGAATCTTCAGACACTTCTGAACGTCTTTAGAGGCATTCTCAATAGCTTTTTCAACTCATTCAACTGCTTCTCACGCTAAATTCTCACTTATCACAATCTAACCTAAGTTTTGCCTTTAGAAAATGCTTTGAAAAATTCTGACTAAATTGTTAGGTTATGAATTGGACTTAAAAAGATGAGTTTTGAACTAATTTAGACCTTTATAAACCTGGAAATGAGTAAATACAGTGAATTTCAGAATATTTCTACCAGATAAGGTTGAATTTATCATTTTAAAGCAAAAAGGATTGACTTTTTTGAGGTTATGATTGACTTTAAAGCTTTTTCTCAGTTAACATAAAGTTTTTTCTATCTGTGGAGAAAAAAATTTTCTAGATTAAGGACAAATTTTATCTCTTTGAGGGTTATTAAATCGACAGAATCTGTTTTAAATCAATCACATAGCCTAGAAAAGACAAGAAACTTTTTTTATCTTAGTAAAATCATATAGAAAATGCGTGAATTTGTAGAAAACAGAAGCTTTTGCAATGCAGATATTCCTAATATTTCATCACTTCCAATTCCCAAACACTTCCACAAAGCTGTACACCACTTCCGACCACAATATCTGCCCCTTGGTTGCGAGGAATATGAGTGAGAGGTTAAAAATGTAAATCCAATTTGAGATGCACCGTCATTCCTATACAATTTCTCCCATCTGTGGCAGCACCTGTTTTCAGGAAATGCCTCTGCTCGGCATCCTTCTGCGCCTCCAGACATGGACAATTAATTTTAGATGAGTCACCGTCTTTGCATCGAACGATTGTGTCGTTTGAAATGCATGAAAATGCTTCTCCGCAGAGAATCACCTTTTTTTCTAGCCAGAAAGACACTTTTATTCTTATTTCCAGTGCTCAAGACTGTGTAAATAACTGAACCGCATCGTGTCTTTTATAATCTATCCAGTTATTTTAATAATCTTTCTGAAAATGTGAAGCCAGTGGAACGACTGTTGCTCTCCATCCACATCAAATGGGCTCCATGGCAAATTCTTGTGCGCGCATTTTTCTCACCACCTCAAATCTTTCCATCCATTGTCGCTCAGCTGAGCAATATTGGTCATACTGAGTTCCTTGACCGAAGAAAACACTGCCGAAATGAGAGCTGAGTGTGAAAATCAGAGCCTAATACGAATTATTCGTCATTATAATGCACCAATTCTTGTACAGAATTACCTCATCCTTCAAACCACACGAAATTCCCATTCAATATTGAGGTTCTGAGAAATGTGATCAGTCAATTAGTCATACAATATTATTGACTGTCAGTTTGCAGTGAAGATGTAAAAGCCCTGGATTTATAAGAGCCTTCAGAGAAGCTGAAAACTAGGAAAAGAAATAGAAATCTTGGCTGATTTTGCGTGTTTTTCATTCGTGTGCTTGTAAAGAACAAAGTCTAAAGAAATCATCACATCATGTTAAATAGAAGAGCATGTCATCAAATTAATTTGGTGGTTTTTGTGGCCAATTCACTCTGTGCACGCAATATGACAGCGCAAGTGTTTAATGATACTAATTAATTGTTTAAGATCAGTGCTAAGAGGAAAAAAACAAATGAGATCTTGAGTCGAGTGTTTGTGTCTTACATTGTGACACAG